GATTTTAGACACTAGCTTCATAATATAATAAATTAACAAATATATTTCAATCAATCTGGGGAACTTCTGTCCTGCCCTAATGGTCTGCCTGTCTGCTAAGATACCAATTCAACACTGTTTTGCCTAAAGTCATCATATAATACATTTTAGGACTGGCAGATGTCATAATAGTTATGTCGCTGAACTCTCAGGTAATTGATCATAGTTCGAGCCCCAGACTCACTGGCTTCAAACTCACATGGAGTGTATGTGCATGCATGCACAAAATCCCAAGAGGAGAATGGAGGAGAAGGGACTGTGACATGGCCATTCCCTCTGGAGGGTGACTTCTCACTTTCTGTCTGTCTCTGTCTCTCTGGCAAGCACACACACCCTATGAGAAAAATTTCTCTCTTTTAAAAAAAATATAATATGATACATTTTAATATCTGTTAAGACTGTTAATATCTGTTAATATCTGTTTTGTTGTTCCTTTTAATTTCATAGTTTTCCTTGCTATTCTTGCATACTTACTTTTAATATATAAACTCTATAAGCGACTTGTCTAGCTTGGAGAACTAAAAAAAGACATGTTAATGCTTAAAATAGGGACTATATTTAATGTACATAACAAGCTGGGGAGAATTGACATCTTCACAATGAACAAGGAGTGTTTTCCCTTTTGTTCCAATCTCTGTGTCTTTCAGGAGTGTTTTAAAGTTTTTTCTTGTTTTTCCACATTTTTAAGTTTATTTCTTGGTATATTACATTTTTTTGTTACTATTTTATAGGATGTTTTACTCTTTTGTAGGATTTTCTAATAAAACATTTATATATGTGTGTGTGTGTTTGTGTGTATACATAGATATGAAAGTTGCTGATTTTTGTGGTTTAGATTCGAGCTCATTTTCACTGAATTTTTATTAGTGTTATCTCTGATTCTCTTGAGTATTTTGAAGTACACTCTTGTCTCATCTGCAACAGAAATGGTTATACCTGCAACAGAAATGGTTTTACTTCTTTCCTTTCTCTGTGTGCCTATTTACTTTCTCTTGTCTCTTCTCATTGGCTACACGTCCAGTGCATGTTTAAACTTGGTGAAGTGAGTTACAACAGAGTATTTATTCTGGTGGTGTTCTTCTGACCATGGTGAGAATGAAAATATCTCTACAATTTCTATACTGAATACATATTATCTATTCTTTTTCTTTCAGTCTGCATAGCGTTTGGTCTCCTTAAAGCTTTCTTTCCTTAGATATATCAAAATGGTGAATTTTAATTATTGCTTTTTAAATATTGAACCATTCTAGCATTTCTAAAAGAAATTCCACTTGGTCATGGTGAATTATTTTTCATGTGGTTTTGGATTATAGTTAGTAATATTTTATTTAGAAACTTTACATTGATATTCATAACCAAAATATGAAGTAAAAATCTGAAGTAACAGATAAAGTGAAATATAACATGAAAACTATGGAAGTTACCTTTTTTTTAAATTTGCTCTGGGAAATTTAATTAACTTTGGAATTAATACATTTTTAGAGTTTTGACAGAAGTCATCCATAAAATTTTGAATTCTTATTTCTTGTTTTGATGTATTTTTTATAGCTTTTTTCCAAATTTTATATGAAAATTATTTTGCTTCTAAGTTTATTTCTTTTTACCTGATTTTTTAGTGATTATCTTCAAGATTTTTATATAATTTAATAAAGCAAAGAGTATGTTAGCAGTATACACTCTGGTACTTGACTTGACTTAGGTTAAAATCCCAGTTTTCATTGTTACTTTGTGGCCTAAAAAATTTATTTAACTCCAGAAGTATCAGTTTCTTAATCTGTGTATGCAGGATTTTCAAAAAGTTTATGGAAAATGGGTATTTTTAAAAAGTGTGGATTTAAAACATTTTTGCACAAAAATTAGCTTGTATGTTAATTCCATTTTCTACAAACTTTTTGCACTCTTATAGTACTCCTATCTCATGAAGTGTAAGGAACAATCTAGTCAATACCTAATCAACTAGCTCAGAATAAGATATCAACAAGCATTTGATGTCTTTCCATTCATTCTTTTATCTGTGTAGTCATCAAACATGTCAAAAACATTGAGAACTAAAAATGCAGATCTTGTATTAGAGATCATTCTGGCAGTGTTACAGAGAACGGGTGGGAGAGGAAAGTCTGCCAACACGACCAGTAGAGAAGGTAGTTATGAAATTTCACAGACTATGAAATTTCACAGAATTTTCTGGTAAGCAAGGAAAGGCAGCACATATGAACCAACAGTTGTTTCTGATAACTGCAAAATACATAAAGGAAACTGGGTGAAACTTCAGGAAGCATGCGGCGTGTTTTCAAAGATAGGGGAGACCTGAGCCTATTTCATAAGCCATGAACAATTGATAGGAATCAGAGAGAAAAAGAATTGTCACAGAGGGAGCATTAGCTAAAATCAGGAAAGCGACAACACCTCTGTATTGGAAACAGGCACAAAGAAAGGAAGCATGTGTGTGAGCACAGATTTATCTGGAGATTAGACTCCTGTAAAATAGTGAGTTTGCGTCTGACTTTCTCCATTGTTTGTTTCCAGTACGTGCAGTCTGTGGCTGAGAGTGAAAGGATTAAAGCCCGTAAAGGTACTAAGTGCTGAAAAACTTATAATGTGCCTCTCTCATCTCGCACTGTATTTTTTTAATTGACAGAGAGCACATGTACTTGCGAGAAGGAGACAGAGGGAGAGAAGGGGAGAGAGAGCAAGCAAAAGGTGGGGACAGGGCAGCAGAACGAGAGAGCACCCCCCTATGGGATATGTTCATACCACAGTCCCTTCTCTTCCATCATTTTGTCCCTTCAGGATCTTGGTCATGCACACACAAGGGCCTGGTGTGTTTTTCAAGCCACCAGGTTGAGATTCAATGAAATTTTTGTGTTTATTATGAACCCTGTTACAGATACTTAATAGACATTTCAAAAGATGACCTGTTAGAAGTGGAGAGTTAAAAAATGACTTCTAGAGGTTGAGAATGGTAACAGGAAAGGGAAGAAGATGTTGGTTAATGGAAAGAAAATTGCCGATAGGTAAGAGGGGTAAGTAAATTCTATGTTGTAACATAAAGTGGGGTAACTACAATTAACAACAGTTTATTGCTTATCTCATTGTAGCTAAAAAAGTGGATGTGGAATGTTTCCAACACAAAGTAATGACAAGTGGTTGAGCTGATAGCTATGTTATTTACCCTGATTTGATCACTTCACATATTCTTGTACTGAAAAAAAACACATTGTACCCCATAATATGTACAATTATTATATATCAATTAGAAGTGGAATTTGGGGATCAGCAGGTAGCATGGAGGTAATGTGGTTAGATCCCACATGGTCACAAACATGGTTCAAGTCCCAGACTTGGAAACTTGAAAATCACACAGAGCACGTGTCAGTGCGTGCCCAAAATCCTGAGTAGAGAATGGAGGAGAAGGGATTGTGGTATGACCATCCCCTCTAGGGTGTGATTTTTCACTTTCCCTCTCCTTTTTTTTTTTTTTGGAGAGGTTTTTGCTATAGAGCACTTGTGCTTGCCATAAAGAGAGAAAGAGAGACAAAAAGTGAGAAATCACCCCCTGGGGGGATGACCACAGCGCAATCCCTTCTCCATTCTCCTCTTGGGATCTTGGGCATGCACACATACACGTCCGGCATGAGTTTAAGCCAACGGGTTTGGGACTCGATCTGTGGTCGACTACATGTGAGTCCAGCAACACAGCCATTAAACCAACTGCTGGCCCCAAAACAAATAACTCTTTAAAAAAAAAAAAAAAGAAAGAAAAGAAAATGGAAATAAATTCTGAAGGAATTTGCCCAAGGCCAAGACAATTAAATGGCAGAGCCAAGATTAAAATCCTGCAATTTCCCCTTTTCCTTGTTAAAGTAAGAAATAAAAGAGAAAACGTGAAATAGTGTGTAATGGTTAAAGATAAAACCCATTTTAAATAGAGAAATGTGGGAGAATGAAGGAGGGAAGAGAGGACCTTCTGTAGTAGCAAAAATTTCAGCTTTGACATTTTTTATGAAACAAACAAAACAGGTCATATTTGTTCACAGACAGAGGTAAGATTCTGAGGGCCAGTCATGTTGATTTCTCCTATAAAAAGTCAATAAAACTGTAATAAGGGTTTAATAATGTTGATTTAATGCCCTGTGACTACTCAGTGTTCAGTCGCCTGAAAGAGTTTGGATAACTTGCTGTGGAGCAGTGATTGCATTTGGGCTAGTGTATGCCTCACGTAGGGAAACGATTTAGCTGCTCCTAACGCAGTCCCACAAAGCTCTTGAAGAAAATTCCATTGGTTCACCCACTCAGGGATCCATAATTCTTTTGCTTATTGTTAGCAGGTTGGAAAGAAGAGACAATGCCAAGTTGGCAGAAAATAAAATAAAAGATAGAGACTTACACAGATTTCTTATTAGCGATAAATTAGAGACCCAGGAGAGGAGGAAAGTCCCGGGAGAGTGGAAATTGTTCTCTCTCCTGTATGCCTTCCAGGCAATGCCCAGCTCCATTTTAATTACATCAGCTACCTTGACTGGATGCCCTGTTCATTATCCTTTCACACATCCTGTGAAATGCTCTGTTTTTCAAAATAACAATTTTTATTGTGACTTCTAATTTACACATAGTAGTTATACATCTTTGTGGGGTACAGTGTGGCTTTTCAAAGCATGTATACAATGCACAATATTCAAATCAAGGAAATAAACACATTTGCTATCTCCAATATTTAATGTTACTCTGCATTGTTCACATTTAAAACAAAGATTAAATTGTAACTAATGTCTGCTCTGCTGTGCTGTGACAGTCAAAAAACCCATTCCACTTTTTTACATGCACCGGTGTCACTCTCACCTCAGTTCTCCCATCCCTTCCCCCCCTTCTCTCCTTTCCAGCTTCTAGCATCTACCATTATAGTCTCTATTTCTATGCAGTTGGGTCTTTTAGCTTTCTCCCTGAGCAAGGATATATGGTACTTGTTATATGACATTTGTTTTTCAGAGCCTGGCTTATTTCACTTCGTGTTATTTCTTCCAGGTTTATCCATTTGGCCTCAAATGACAGGAGCTCGTCCTTTTTTATGGGCTGAGAAGTATTCCACTGTGTATGTATCACAATGTCTTTACTCACTCCTTGGTCACTGGACTCAGGTTGATTCCGTATCTTAGCAACTGTGAATGGTGTTACAGTAAACGTGAAAATGCGGAAAACTCTATGACAAATTAATTGCCTTTCCTTTGGATATATACCCAGTAGTGGAATTACTGGGTGGTAAGGTAGTTTGATTTTCAGTTTTCGAGTAACCTTTATGCCATTTTCTGTAGTGGCTCTAGGAGTTTCTATTCCCACTAGCAGTGCTTAAGGATTCCTCTTTCTACAGAGCCTCACTAGCACTTGTTGTTCTTTGTCCTTTTGATAAGAGCCATTCTAGCTGGGGTCCCATTGTGGTTTTGATTTGCATTTCTTTTGTGATTATTGATAGTGAGCATTTTTTTATGTGCTTTTCGGCCATGTGTATGTCTTTCTTCAAGAATTGTCTGTTTAAATCAGTTGCCCTCTTTTAAATTGGATTATTCATTTTTATTAGTATTTTAGGTTCTTAAATGATTTGATTATTCATCCCTTGTCAACTGTATAATTTGCAAATATTTTCTCCTAGTGAAAGATACCTTTAAACAGCCAGATATTGCTGCTCTAGTCTCCCTGTGTGGAATCTCCTCTCCCTTCCCACCTGCTGAAACTTAAATTAGAAATCATTTTAGTTCCATATTAAAATCCTACCACTTCATGAACGTTTGCTGATCATCTCAAATGAGAAGAGATTTTCTTCTCCTCTTACTCACTAATATTTACACCATTTTGTGCAACTTTTAACAAAGACTGCCTTTAATGTTCATTTGTATAGGTTGTACAACTGGCTTTGAAGTAGAATGGTAATTATAATTTTTCTTCTAGTGTGCTGTTAATATCAGTAGTAACTCTTCTCACTCCTCCCCAATATATGCCCCCCAGCAATTTTTTTATGCCAGAGGGTATGTGTGCATGTATAAGAGACCCAAAGATAGAGAGGAGAGAGAGAGAGAGAGAGAATGGGGTCTGGTCATACCACAATCCTTTATCCTCTAATTCTCCATCCTATCAGGATCCTAGACATTGTCCTGCCTGTCTTTCAGGCTGTCAGGGCTGGGACTGTGACCACCTCAGTCACACACCACCCAGTGCCCTCTGCACAGTGCCTAGCCTCCACAGTGTGGTCCAGCCTCCCACTAGTGATTTCACAAGGAGGGCGAACACGCAACTTAGGCTTCTTGGAATCTTCACGGGGATCAACTTATTAAATTTTCAAAGGAGAGGTTCTTTTCCTGTTGAAGATGCTAACCTGAAAATATGGGAGCATAGAGCTATTGGCAGTCGCTTTGTCAACCACTGCATAAAACCCACCCGAGAATGGTGCCAATTAAAGTGAAGGAGAACCGAGGAGGCAATTGCTCCAGACAGCACAACGTAAGCTCCCGAGAGAAGGCTTGCCTGGGTTTAGCCGTCTTACTCTTCCCATTTGCCTGAGTCATATCTTCCCCTTTTTTTTTTTCTTAAAATCATCTGAGGTAAAATTTTTTTTTCAGTTTTATCAAATGTCATAGTTGGGCTGACCCCATAGCACGGTGGCCAAGAGCTACATGTTGGAAACTGGATCCTATGTAGCTGCCTGCAGTTCAAATCCCAGACCAGTGCCTTGAAAAACATACCAGACACGTGTGCACGTGGGCCCAGAATCCTAATGGGAAGGAAAATATGGAGACGGGATTATGGTGTGGCCTTACTCTACTAGGGATTGCAATAAATCATCATCATAATAGAAGAGTCATGGTTTATAAACTCCTCAGTAAACTCCTACAGATGGTAAGTATTTTAAGATCATAGTTCAGGTGTGATCTGTCTCCCTATCCTCTGTCTAGAATGTGAGACAGGAACCTGAACAAGTAACTGAATTAATTGATGAGTGGTTCTTGTCCCAACCTGGGTAGGTTGTACAACTGACTTTGAAGTAGAATGGTAATTATAATTTTTGTTTTCCAGCGTTCTGGGAATAGCAGTGCTGGCATCCTGACCCATCTCACTCCTCCACAATACATGTCTGCCACCAGTTTTGTTTTGTTTTGTTTTGTTTTGTTTTGTTTTGCTTTTAATGCCAGAGGATATATGTGCATGCATGAGAGAGAGAAAGAGAGAGAAATAGAGAGATTGAACAAGGAAACTGAAGCTCTGAATTTTCATACCAGCTAATTGAACTTGCATTTGTGATTCCCAAGCTTGGTATTTATTTTACTAAGAGTCTAGTCTGTTTGCTGGACTGCTCTCCCTTCTGACATGTTTTAGTGAGTAATATTTTTATCTGCTGAATATGAAAAAGAAAACAATTCAGCTGGTTCTTCTCAAGACCCAGGTGTAGAAAGGAAAGTGGTGGATTTCAAATAGGTAGAGGGATCTAATATAGAGAGACTGACGCAAGATTGCACAAACTGTGCACACATTTCAAGGACTCATATATTATGCATTTTCTTACCTCATGTCTTGTTTTTAATTCTCTCTCTTTAGCATTTTTCTACTTCTTGATTCTTTATTATAGTTTTATGAGATATATCTTAAAATCCCTCATTTAAAAAGTATAAATCAGTGGTTTTAAGTGTTATGCAACCCTAACTATTATACATCAGAACATCTTCATGATTCCATCTCTATGAATTTGCTTTGAGTGGAATTCCATATGCATAGAATCTTATATTATATGTTTTTTTGTAACTTACTCTTTTCACTCACAATGTTTTTTTTTTTTTGGAGCGGTTTTTGCTATAGGGCACATGCGCTCATCAGAAAGACAGAGAGAGACAGAGAGACAGAAAGCAAGAAATCACCCCCCAGGGGGATGGCCACACCGCAATCCCTTCTTCTCTATTCTCCTCTCGGGATCTTGGGCATGCACACACACGCACCTGGTGTGAGTTTAAGCCTGGTCCAGGACTCAACCCGCAGTCGACTACATGGGAGTCCAGTGACATAGCCATTACACTAACTGCTGGTCCCACTTATAATGTTTTCAAGGTCCATTCATTTCTTTTCTTTTTTTTTTTTTTAGTTTGCTATAGGGTGCATGCACTCACCAGAGAGGGAGGGAGGTATGGAGGGAGGGAGGAAGAGGCGAAGAGAGACATGGGGGGGGAGAGAGAGAGAGAGAGAGAAAGAGAAAGAAAGCACTCTCCGGAGGGATGGCCATGCAGCAATTCCTTCTCCTCCAGTCTTCTCTTGGGAGTTTGGGCACGCACGTGCATGTGCCTGATGTGCTTTCCAAGTTGCCAGATCTTTGACTTCAGCCATGTAGAGTGTGGGACCGCCTTCCTTAACCACAGATGCCATGGCTGGCCCAAGGTTCATCTGTATTTTAGCATGTAATTCATCCTTTTTCTTGCCCAATAATATCCTTTCGTACAGACATACCACTTTTGTTTGTCCATTCATCAATTTATGGACCTTTACGTTGTTTCTACATTTTGCTATTATAAATAATGCTTATGTGAACACGCGTGTTCAGGTTTTCATGTAAACATGAACTTTCATTCGTCTTGGGTATTCATCAAAGAATGGGATTTACTAGATCATCTGCTAATTATATTTTTTGCTTTTTGAAGACTTGTCAAACTCTTTTCCAAAGTGACTATACCAACGTGCATTATGACTAGCAATGTCTGAAGGTTCCAATTTTTCTGCATCCTCACTAAAAGTGTTATTGTCTTTTAAATTTTATTTTACTGTCTGTCATTCTGGTGGATGTGCAGTGGTTGGTATCTCATTCGAGTTCTAATTTACATTCCTCTAGTGACTAACGATGTTGAACATCTTTTCATTGGTTTATTGGTCATTTATAAGTCATCCTTGGAGAAATACCTATACAAACCCTTTACTCATTTATTCATGGGGCTATTTGTCCTTTTATTATTGAGTTTAAATAGTCATTTGTATTTTTGAGACACAGTTCTCTTAGCAAATACAACATTTTCAGATATTCTCTTCCTTTCTGTGGGTTGTCCTTTGTGCAAAAGTTTGTGCTTCAGGGAAGGTACTTTTCACAGAGCTCCAAAAGCAATCATATCTGATTGCTTTGGTTACTGAATTCATGAATTAGGGAGAGAAGGATGTTGGAGATAGCCCTAAGTTAAAATGTTACAAACTGTGCTGTCTTACTGAGATTCACTAGTGCTCTTAGGTAGATGATTCTCAGTTCATTTTGTGGCTTTGATTAACTCCTTACATTCTGAAATGGTTTATTTCTGTTGTTTCATCCATACTTTTATTGTTTTTAGACTCAGTTCATAAAGATTTCTCTGCCATCCTAGAAATTGATTGCCACTTCATGTATCTTTTTCCATGCACTACCACTTAACTTGTCTTCTATGTCTTTAGTATTTTCCAAGATAATGATCATATCAAGGACTTGCAGTTCTTTATATTTTCCTTATATTGTAATGCCCACGTGTCTATAGTACACATTCAACAAATAGCTGAATATGATGACACCATATATTGTCAAATGTCTTATGGGGAGTAAAATCATGCCTGATATATATTATTTTATCTAATGCTTGCCACAATTCTGCTTGGAAATAATTACCTCCATTTTACAGTAGCCTAGAAAGTTATGCCTATACCTTACCAAGGTTACACAGCTAGTTCAGTGACAAAGGTTCAATTCACTTTAATTTTCTCTGACTCCCAGGTCAATCTTAGCTGTTAGCTATAATTCCTAAATCAAGAGAAAAGATTGTTATTTCTTTTTCTGAATTATGACACACCTTAGATTTCATAAGTGCTTCATGACATTAAGTTTTATTTGTTCTATAATTTTGGCAAAAACTTTTGGACAAAAGGAGTATAGCCTTAGGGCCCCATTTAATTGAGCCATCACCTATGAATATTGGATTAACTTGGCCCTTTTACCCAAAGGGATGACCTTGAATTTAGTATGGCTGGTTTGTGGCGTGCAGAGTGTTCACATTGTGAGAATTAGTAGCATTTTTCTCCCTGCACTTTTCTCTTGCTCTAATAAG